AACATCCTCCGCTTTAAACTTTGATTCTTTTATTCATTCTCGATGGGAAGTGTATATATATGTATGTTGATATCTCGATCCTACTAATAATAAAAGCATCCAACGAATCGTTTCACTACGCCCTCCTCTCTTTGCCGACTTTTTATATTCAAAACTTATGCGTCCACGGGTTGACATAGAAACTTGACATAGAAACAATTTTTATTTTCGATCAAGCTCGTTTTCTCTTGAGATTCAAAACTTCTTAATCCATCCTCTAGCATATAAGATTTTTGATTTTCTATTTACAAAATTTATGATAAATATATTATAGGTGTCTCTTGTCAAATTTTTCGTTAGAAATTTTTATATCATTCAACGAAAAATTTGATTTATATAAAATAACACAATGATTACTATCTCAATTAATTTTATTCCACATTTCAGATTAGTAACAATAACAAACCCCGCATGCAGATTATCATTTGAAAAAGAGAAAGAAAGAAAAAAAATAATAAATAATTAATTAAAAAAATAAAAGAAACAACAAAAAATAGAATGTATAGAAAAGAATAATGGGTTTTGAGTAAGAATCGTGCGATGAAATAACGCGATTCAATGTGTACGTGCGTGTCGCTCGTACGAGAGTGGTTGATCCTTGCAACCTCCACCCTCCTCTCTCTCTCTCTCTCTTTTCACAAACCCACCCTTGGCAGCCCCTTATAGATACATTTATGATATATTCCAGTCACACGCGTCCACCACCGGTGGTGCCCTCCTACGCGCAACGTATTCATCGTATGTAACTCGAACGGGACTCTATAAAATACTACCCTTACCTCGATTTTGTTCAGCCGAATAACTTATTGTAGCCTGTTCTATTTTGATACGGCTACGGCATGCACGCCGAGCGACCGCGTACGCTGAATACCGAAATATCGTGTCCTGTGTGCGATCAAACAAAGTGGAATTCGATTCCTCCTCTTTCTCAGATATCATAAAATGAATAATATTCTTATTATAGGTATCATCAAACCCCTCTAACATCTTTCCATTCATTCCATTATTATCATTTAAGCCACGTATGTAGGTATCTTTGAATAAAATGTAAACATCTAAAAAGTAAGTATGGACTTGTATATACGTGTATATATATATATATGTATTTGACTGTTTGCTGCGTTTCATACCGGTCCCCCCTCTCTATCTCTCTCTCTCTCTCTATCTATCTATCTCTGCGCGTTAGAATAATATAAATATAGATGATGCATGAATACACGCTTTTATATATTACTTTTTACTTCTATCTATAAATAATATTGATAAAGTATCTAGTTACCTACCTACCTATCTATAATTATTTATAAATTTGACAAAAAAAGTAACAAAATTTGAACGATTTTGAAAAAGAAATAGAAAACAATATATGAAATAAAAAACGAGGGGAAAGAAATGAAGATGAATTAGAACGGTTGATGGAATAAGTTTGCGTTTATTTTTTAATTTTCGAATGAAAATATGAATGTATATAGGATATATTATATGTTACGTAGATAGTTGCGATGATGAGGCTGGCTAGACAAGCGCTCTGGGTGCGAACGAAGAATGCTCGGCAGAACTGTGCGATAAAAGGACAACAAAACGACGCAGAGCGTCGCGATTAACTGAAACAACCGAGCCGACAATGGAGTAATCAGTGAGCTTTTCGACGGGCTGCCTTCTCTACCAACTAGTCATCCTTTCTCTCTTTCCGTTCCTCTTTCTCTTTCTACTCTCAAGCACCATCCTCCAATCGCGTAGTCGAAGCTGCCGTTGTTGTTGCGTCGCTTCAGCAATCGCAACGATGATGCCTCGTCCATTGTCAAACGCCATTGTTTTCTTCATTGTGTGCATGAACTGCAGCACAACCCCTGGCCTAGTATCCCAAACCCCCCTCCCCTCCCCAACGTTCCTTTTCTCTCGCTCTCTCTCTCTCTATTTTTTTTTTCAATTTTTTCACTCAATAAAAAAATTATCGAATGAAAAAAAGAAAAGAAAGGATACAAAAGTCGAATTGTCTTATTCGAAGATAAGCTACAGTTCGTTTCACATTGTTATATTTTAAATTGGTTCCTTGTTGTTTCCAAATGGCGAAAAACAAAAAAAAAAAGGAAAAGAGAAAATGAGAAAAACAGAAGGAAAAGATGATACGAGCGCTGTAATAATTTCTTTTGATTTTGAAGAGGACACACACGTTTGCAAGACGATATTTCGAAAGCAAGAAGCCGAATGATGAGACAAGGAAGCCGGATTGTTTCATTGATGAGCGAGCATTCAAGGGCGTAACAGGGACTAGCATGAGAGAGAGAGAGAGAGAGAGAAGGAGAAGGAGAACGATCACGGTACGGCGTTTGCAGATTCGCCGACAACCCTCTTTCGAAGCATGCTGCACGATGAATGGTATAATCAGCGGTCGTGTGGCCACCCTATTGCCAAAGAGAGGAAGATAGCCGATAATCCTGAGAGAGAACGAGAAATAGAAAGAGAGAAATTATACACATATAATATATATATATACCTATATTCTACTTGTTCTTCTGCCTCACGCATCAATTGGATTCCAAAAGAGTCCAAACGATTTTGGAAAATCACTTACTCTCACCCACCCTCTGACACTTATTCTCCTTTTTTCTTTTTTTTCTTTCTATCTCTATCTCTTTCTCTCTTGTTCTTGTTCTTTTTAACACGTACACGCACGCACATATTATATCCCCCCTCCTTTTTTTGTCGACGTATTATCTCACCCGTAAAAAGATCTTATCTGTCCACGCGAGTTTAGATCCATCCTAGATAACGTCACCCTACTCGAGAGAAAAAAAAAAAAAGAAAAGAGATTTTCTTTATATTATTTTTCTATTTCCTTTTTTTCCTTTTTCATAGGACCCACGGGAGAGAACGACACGCAGAAACTAATTGAAACCGCTCGTATACACTTGGTTATACATTGTGAGGCATAGAAGCGTATCGGTGAGAGATCAACCCCGGGACTAACCCCCTGCCCCTTTTTTTTTTTCTTATTTCACGTGTCGAACGATAAAATTCATACACACACGCCCCCCGATTCGATCAAGCGGGAAACGCTTAACGAGGGAACGATAAAGGATCTCTTAAAAAATAAACCAAGTTCACTGTGTTGTGTTTCGGTGATTATTATTGGCATTATAGGGTATCCATTCGACGATGGGTTACAATTACTATTCAATGAACTTTATTCTCCCAGCTATATATTTCCTCATTTAAATCCTCATTGAAAATCTTTCATTAAAATATTTTTCCAATCAGCCCAAAAGTTATAATTCCATTCGTTAGACGAAAAAAACAAAAAGAAAAGAAATATTTGCACAAAATTGTTCTATCAGAATAAGAAAGATATTATTAGCAAGTTAACTGGGAAAGCCAAGCAAAGGTTATTATTTGCCTTGGGGGATGAATGTATTCGCACTTTCCGGAAATTTGCTGCTGACTACGGACAGTGCTTTATAGTAGATGGTTTCTCTCAGAGAAACGAAGGGAATGGAGGTTGGTGGGTTCGTGGGAGGGCCAGGAGAGGAGGGGGAGAGCGGGTGTGAATGTTACCTCTTGCAAGTGAGCGGTCCCTGTCTTGTCTCCCCTTTTTATACCTATACTCTCTTTATCGCCTTATCACTCGAAATGTCTTCAGCCTCAACGGCAGAGAGTCCCCACCTCTCTTGCCATCTCTTTTCCTTCCTCTCCTCTTCTTTTCCTTGAGCAATCTCAATCTTTACGGCAAGAGACAGCGCCAGGCTCTGATAACATTTATTACACGAACCGTTTCTTAACTCGAATCGTACTTATGACTAAATAAGAAAAAAAAAAGTAGCCTTATAAATATCTAAAGATAACCAAGGAACTTTATCTAATATAACAGCTAAGGAATAATTTTCAAATAAATAACAGACGAGTTATATTGGATAGTGTAAAAAAAAAAAAAAAATAAATCAATAGAAAGTGAAATAAAGATCGAGAATAATGAATTGTGATTGTATGATAATCAACCTGTAGGAGAAATGCGGTGGTCACACATAAACGCTCGCGAACAATGATATGTATATCCATCGAGCAGGTTGCTAAAAGTGTTAGAAAGAATGAATAGAGAAAGAGAGAAAGAAAAACGCCAGGATCATGTCTAAAAGAATATACGTGGTGACTTTGTCTGTACGGGTTGGTAAGATAAAAGGAGAAAAAGATAGACTGAAACACACAGATGGAAGAGGAAAGAAAGAGAAAGATAGATAGAACGATAAAGGGAGCAAGAGAATAGGTTCCTGGTCCACCTGTTGCATGCGCCGGTATCCTCGATTCGCCATGTCAACGCAGGAGCCAATCGTGGGTGTCCATTAGCCGTGCGCGATGGTGGGAGCAAAAGGACTCGCCTGGTTGGCCGTCAGAACGAACTTTTCCCACGTCCTACGGGAGTCGGGCCACTCGACGTTCAGCGGATCCCGCGGATTCGCCCCGGACTCCTCTCACCACCGGCAACCTACTCTCTCACCGATTCTGCCACAGTCCTTGCCACGCTCTCGCTACGATCCGCGATTGTCTCTCGAACGTCTCTACTTTATAATTTATCCCTATACTTCCCATCTTTTTCATTTTTCTTTGTCCCTCTAATTGTACTGGAAATCAATCTATCTCCGGGGAACCCTCTTCGGGAAAGGATGATCTTCGACATTCGTGAAGTGAGAATCAATTAGAAATTGAAACTAACTGTAAGTTTTTATCGCGTTGAACGAGATTATCATTATTTTTTATACATTTTTTCTTAAAACAACGTTCGTATTATTGATTCGAACGTTTCAGTGGAAAATATACAGGAAGATCGATATGGATGCGTTTAAACATTTTTCGAAGAACTTTTAATATTTGATTTATGTATATAAAAGAGAAGAAAAAATAAGAAATAATTAAAACTAAGAAAAGAGAAAAAGGAAGTTAGAGAGAAGGTGTACGTGTGTTTTAAAGTTTATTTTTATTTCAATGAGAAGAAAGATAATCGCTAGAATGTGTATCGCGTTGATACGAAGTTGTTAAAGTTGTTAACGCGCAGAGTCCGCGATTCGAGTTACGCGGGAATTCAGAACGGAAGAGGAAACACCGTCGGAATGTCGTCGAAAACGATACACAACGAGCACATTAAAAGGCCGATGAACGCGTTCATGGTATGGTCCCGTGGACAGCGACGTAAAATGGCACAGGAAAATCCGAAAATGCACAATTCGGAAATTTCAAAACGACTTGGAGCAGAATGGAAACTACTCAGCGAAAGTGAAAAACGACCCTTCATAGACGAGGCTAAGAGATTAAGGTAAGTTTATCAAGAAAAACAAACAAAAAAGTCACTTTTATTTGCAATACAAAATCAAATATTCCAACGTTTCTTTACGGTAGAATTTCACAAAAGCACGTTAACGCGTTTTATAATATCTTTCAATGAAATATTATTTGTTTGCTCGAATATACACTAACACGCACACGCACACAATTGTATACACGTTTGAATAACAAAACACCGTAGAATTTCAAATCGATCGATGAAAAATATCTAAAGAATTCACTGCAAGCCCCACTTTAGAAAATCAAATCTATTCTATTGTCCAGTGTTAATAATATTTGATCGATTTTCGCTCGATCAAACGAGGACAATTAAAAGATTAGGTATCGTTGTCGAATCAACGACAGCTTTTTTTCCACCGAGTCTAATTGCTCTTTAGACATTGTGAACACTTCAGCGAGATGATCGCATTGAGGCGTATCTACAAATGCCATGGGGTTGAAAAACTAGGAAAGGGGATGAACAGGCTCGTAGTTCATAATACGGTACATTGTTGCTAAAGCTAAGGGCGTGCTACGTTAAGCTAGAGGGTTGAACCAGGAGAATAATAGGGGTGTTATTTACAGAGGAGAAACGAAGAGAGAAAGAAAGAGAAGAAAAAAAAAGAAAGAGAGAAAGAATGCTCTTAGCTCTTTATTAACGACCATGAATATTTAATCACTGTTATGAAAGTTTATTTAGCTATTGGAGATACGAACTGTCGATTAATTGATTTCAGTTCATGTAACACGAAACTTAAATTACTCTAATGATATCTATTTTACATCAACTTAAATTACATAAAACATATTTTCTTTACGTATTGAATTTCAAAAATATAAATAACGTATTTTCCAAATTGAAATCATTTGTTCGAAAACAACCGTTAAATCTTTTGTTTCATCCTTGAAGGACAAAGTTAGTAAAACGTTAATAATATAGCTAGATTCTATAGATCTCTAGATTATATAGAAATATAAAAGAAGAATTTCTACTTCTATTCTGGTATGTGTGAGAAAAAACTCGCAAAATAAATATATATAATGGGAAATAATAATAATAATTTTCTTCTACTCTCTCTCTTTCCTTTTATTCGAAGAGAATATAAGTACTTTGTCGATTCGCCTTCAATCGCAAGTGTTCGTTTATTTCCCATGGATCCGCCTAGCGAAACGCCGCGAAAGCACGGTAGGGATAAGCTAGCGAGAATTTCGAAGGGGGAAGTGTAAGCGTCGAATTCGCTTTTCTCGCTGGCTGGCGGTTATGGGTCTGATAAAATGAAAAGAGGAATTATAAAAGTCCGCTGCGTACTCTTCAATGGAAAACGCGAATCGTTTCCTATTGATCGGCCTTATCTCGTGCTCCGATCCGTTCCGCGAATCTACATTTCACTTTTCGCAAGTTGTCGAGAGAAAGACCGAAAGTGGAAGAGGAAGAGGAAGAGCTGAAGAAACGAAATTTCGAGGAACCGCCGGGTAAGTATTATATATCGACGAATTTCACTAGATTTCCGTACGAGTGATTCTACGCTGGAATTTCACGGACGAATTTCAACGTCAAAATTGTAGAGGAACGTTTGACGTTGCAAGGGAATAACTATCTAATAGAAAGACATGCCAAAATTTATCTCTACGATAGAATAATAATTAATATTTCATTTTAACTTCTATACACCTCTACTATTACGCGAGAATAGTAAAAATCTTGAAGGAAAAATAGAAAAATATTAGAAAAAAGGAACAAAGAGGATATGGGGGAGGTGGGGGGCGGTAAAAGAAAAAAAAAGGATAAACATCGTGGATGTCTCTACGTGAAATTTGGAGTGGAACGCGTAAGGGCGAATCCGCTTTTCTGGTGGAGAAGGAAGAGGAAGATATCGATGGTGGAGTCTGATGATGGTAGTGGTGTTGGAGGTTGTGATAGTGTGGTGGAAGTTGGTGGGATGGTGGTGGTCGTCGTAAAATAAAGAAGAGAAGAAGGGCTACGATAAAGTCGTTCTCTTGGAGCCGCTTCTCGATATGGCTGGTTGGTGGTGTGATGGTGGTGGTGATGGTAGTGGTGGTATGGTGGTGGTGGTGGTAGCAGCTCCTGCTTCCCGTGGAGCCGTGCTGTCACTGGCCCGACGTAATCTGTCCGTTCGTTCACGGCGACTCACAATGTGGCCCCCGAGATAACAAATAAAGCCCCATTGTCGCAATTGTGTGGATTTAAAAGGATTTGCGCTCCTCGTCCCGCGCTCTCCTTCTCGCGTCTCGCTTTCTCCACCTCCTCTTCCTCCTCCTCCTCCTTTTACTCTTTCTTCCTCCTACCACCTCCACGCTGCTGTTGCCCGTCCAACGATTCACGGTCTCTTTCTCTACTCCCAAACCCCCTTGGTACCTAGTCCCGCGATTCGGTCCTTCTCAACGCTTCTCTTTACGCTACCAAAAAGGATCTTATACCTATACATAATCATATATATATATATGAGGGGGTGTATGTAGATATGTATATATGTGTATGTATCTAGTCGTTTAAGCTATTACTATATCTTTCTTTCTCTAAAGATATCTACTTACTACATTTTCTTTTGCTTCTTCTTCTTCTTTTTCTTCCTCCTCTTTTTACTTAACATAATACGAGTTGTCATACAGAGAGAGGAGGAGAACACTGTTAAGATTTTTCTATTGATATAGCAACTCTCGTGATTTCATCGTTCGTTGTTGAAAAGAATGAAAATAATGAGAACATTGGGGCCACGTATTTAGCTAGGACGAAATGAGATTCGTTAAGGTAATCGAGCAAGCAAGCTCGTACGAGTTCGCCAACAATCGAGACTAATTGATATTGTTTCTTGTTGCGGCAGAAACCGCAGGGTGAAGCTTATGTCGAGTAAAATGATATAAAGCGTTGTTTATCGTCGCTGAAAGTCCCGATGCCGATGGAGTGCAAAAGAGAGAGGAGGGTTGCTTGGCTGGGGGGTTTGGGGGTGAAAGGTGGATGGTGGTGGTGGTGGTGGAGCGCGCGCGGCTGCCCAGAGAATTGCCGTAGAATTGTAAAGATTACGCCCCGATGTTTATGCATTTATGCTGAATTATTGTCGGCGCGGCTTTACCGATGTTTATGCTGATTTACGCTTTGTGCTATCTGCCGGGACACATTGTCCCGGAATTATTATTCCCGCCACCTCTCTCCTGCCTACGTCCTTCGTCATTCTCTCACGCAATTCACGCCGGCAAAGCAACGGACGAACTTTGAAATTTCGAATTTACTCGTTCCAGCGGAAAATTTTGTTTTGTTCGAAATATAGGAGAAAACAATGGGAAAGGAAGAATATTCAACTCGTAACAAAAACAACAAAAATATAACGTAACAATTCGATCCGTCGATAGTAGTATAGACACGCCCAAACGATCGTCATACATTTTTAAAGGATTTATTTATTAAAGGATTATTATTTTTTTTAAACAAAGAGAGAGAGAGAGAGATAGAGCAAATTTGTATATTTCTCTCCTCTGTTTTCTTTCCCATCATAGCTTTTCCTCCATTGTCCTCCTTCTTTCCGGCAAAATTCCTCGCGAAGCAGCCGCGAAAAAAAGTATGAGGTAAAAAAAAAAAGAAGAAAGAAGCCCTTTCGGTACGAACACCTATCTCTCCTTCGCTTTCTTTTATCTCGGGGCATAAATAAGGACTGCGTTTGTGCGCCGGTTGGTACATAATGGAGTATTATGTGATGGAGATACGAAGAAGGCCTTCTACGTTGATGCAAGCACAGGGTGTATGTACAAGATATTTACTACAAATACTCGTGTCAGCCCTATCGCGTCTCGGCGTAACGATAATACGTCCCTTTTATATGGATAACAGTCTCCACAAGACGAAAGAAGGATACAGAAAAATATTTTCAATTGATTCGCTAGAAATTTTCATTCGTCCTTTTTTTTCTTATTTTAAATATATTTATTTCGTTAGCGTGAAAATTATTCGAGATATTGATCATTATTTGTCCATTAGATTAGCTGGATTAGAAAAGTAGTATTTAGCAAAGCTTATCGTTGATTATATCATCCCTAAAACGGTCGACGATCCCTACTCTTTTAATTATGACATTGTAATCCTGATTTACGATAAATCTAATAATCTTGTGACGAAAGAAAATGAAAAATATAAATCTTGTCGAGTTTGATAATTCGCTTAAAATAAAAACATATTTGTTCCAGAGCTCTGCATATGAAGGAACATCCAGACTACAAATATCGACCACGACGGAAACCGAAAAATTTAGTAAAGAAAGAAAACAAATTTGGTTTTTCGATATCACCGTTGATGTCACCTGGCGATACTCTTGGCAATATATCCCGTGGTCTATTACCACCATTGGCACCACCTTCGCATCATCATCCCTTGATAGGTCACGACGATTTGAAGATACCTCGTTTCTTTCCACCGTTTCCGTATCATCTTTATCCGATTCAACACAAGTTGGGTGACGAATTGAACGGTGGTAAATTGGCTGCGGATTTGGCATTCCAAGCTTTATACGGTAGTGGCACATTTTATTCGAGTCACCAAGCGGTATCCTGGCCAGGATTACCGACTACTACGTGTCTCCAAGCTAATTGTGGTTGCCCTAGTCCATCTAAAGATCCGAAAAGGACTTATTTGCCATCGAAGTTGGAAGAGAGATCCTTTTCCAGTCCGGGTAAACACGAGGACGAAACTTTTCCGATCGAGCGAGACGTTCCTACGATCGACGAATCTCGTTATAGAAAGCTAGAGGACGAAGGATTAAGCTCAACGTTGGAAAGGCATCAAGAAGAAAGATCGAGAGATCGTTTCTCTTCGTCTTCGTCCTCATCCCCGACCGATAGACCCGAAAGAGCATCCAGTACGACATCTGCAACGACCACCAGTACCGTAACTAAAGTTGAAAGCGTATTTTCCGTACAAAATCTTACATCCCCGAGCACGAATTTGTCGTCTCATCGAAGTCACGTCATATGAAGGCCGCTGCCGGTTCTCCCGGATTTAAATTTCCGGGGGAACCTTCTACCAACCGGTTGGCCGACGACAACCGCCGATTGGTGGAGAATCCCACCAATGCTATCACCGATCTCGCAAACTAGTGTCCCTAATTTACCATCGGCTAGCATCAAGGACAACGATATTCACTTTCAGGAAGAACACCAGAGAAATTCTGTCGTATCCAGGTCAACCGGTAGGACTGGCTTGCACGTAGGTGCCGCGCAATGAGATCTTCTCGAGAGAAGTATCATTAGGTACTCCGGCGAGTCATAAGTGCATTTACTGAAACGTGATCGAAATAACTACTTCGGACTACTTTTTCCTTTTATTTGTCGTTATAACGAATTTATGAAAGCAGTGATTATACGTTCATTTCATTTATCCTACGTGTTTCTCTCTCAGCTTTTTAATTAAAAAAAAAAAAAAACAAAAACCGATTATCATCAACGATCGTTATCTTTCAGGTAAAACGGACCGAAATTATTCTAATTTCGTTCAAGATACTGAATAATTATTAATAACGTAACTCTATCGAAGGAATATAAACGTTGCGAATTGGGTTAGATCCGTGAAAATAATGTTAATTAAGACAATCCTAACAAACGAAAATACATAAAGAGAAAAAAAAAGAGCAACAACGTTCTTCCGATCGTCCGTTGCAAAATTTACGTGGAAAAACATTTTCCTATTTCAAAGTCAGCTAGCGAGTTAGATAGTCGAAATCGATAACACGGCATTACGAAAATCCCACAAAGAGAAACGTTACTCCCTTCTGCGAGATGTTCGTGCACGTTGGAAATACTAGAAGAGAGAGAGAGAGAGACACCGATTTTGATGAGACAACCAAGCAACCCTCTCATACCACATATTACCTACATGCATGTGAATCGGGCGTGTCTTTGCCAAACCACGAAAAACAGAAAGAGATAAAGACAGAGAAAGAAGGTAGGAGAAGGAGGAGGAGGAGGAGGAGGAGGAGGAGGAGGAGGAGGAGGAGGAATTGTATGCGAAATCGAGCGAGAGAGAGAGAGAGAGAGAGAGAGAGAGAGAGAGAGAGAAAGGACAGGAAGATAGAAAAGGATGAGAAGGGAGGAAAGGGAAAAGGGGGTACGGATGGAGGAGAAAAAAACCTCTTCCAGCAGAGGCAAATCTCTTCTTTGGGATGCGGCCATGCGAAATAAGCCAAACGTTTTGAATGCTAACGTAGATGCGAGAACGGACCCGACATGTATGTGCTGTACCTACGCGTTCACGGCTATTTTGTTGCGGTGGCGTTTTCGCGACGACGAAACGCATCGATACAACCCGCGAAATTATTCAGCGAAAACGTATGTATGTATATATACATATATGTATATATGTATGTATGTATGTCTGTATGTAGAGATGAATGCACGTATGTATGGTTTGTAAGTATGTATGTATGTATGTATCTACGTAAACGTTTCCGCGTGCGCTTCACGGGAATATCGATCACGAGGAAGGTATTTGCGAATCACCCGTTGCGTATGTAATTACGTCAAATCGAATTTTCTTGTTGTTCGAAGCCAAACGGAGTATCGTTGTCCGTCTGGGCTATTATTATTCCACATTGTGTACATTTTATAGATTTTATTTCATTTTATATCTATAGAAATTGTGCTGGTGCTTGCAAGAGGAGAAGAAAAAGAAAAAGAAAAACAAACAACAACAAAAAAGAATAATAAAAGGAGAGAAACTTTTCGAGGCAAATTTTATTTCCTAAAATGTACGACTTTATTTTGACTTTTTTTCTTTCCAAGTCGAGCGCGATCAGTATTCCTGATCGTTTTAGTTCAATTTTTAGGAAATAATCAACGGTTATCGAAATAGTGCTGGCGCTAAGAAGAAGTTTCTTAAGTTCTTTCATTATTTTCTTTAAAAAAATATCATTAAAGTTGTCTTTCTCGTTGTTTTCCTTATGAATGAAAAAAGAAAAGAAAGAAACAACTGTTACAAAATCGTGCAATCAAATTCTTTTGTATTTTTATTATTACCGTTTGTTGAATAGTTCTCGTTGTGTTACGAAAATAGTAGGGGCACGCGTAAATAAATTTTGAAAGGAGACGCTAACGAATTTCCATAATACATTAAAATGACTCCAGTGAAAGTTGCAGACGCATCTTATAGAGCGTTCTACAAAAAAAAAAATGTAAAATAAGTTATAATGTAAAACATATCTATAATAAAAATAGACACATATCTTTCGAATACGTATGATGTAGCGAGTTCGTCTCTATGTAAAAAAAAAATAATAATAATAATAAGAAGAAGAAGAAAAAATGAAAAAAAAAGAAGAAAAAAAGCGAAAGATATGAAGGGAAACTCATGTACGATCCGTCGAAAACAATTTTTTCCATAAAACTTAAATCCGACTGCGTTATATTACGCTGAGATGACTATATATATAAATAATCACTGTTAATTGATGCTGTAACATAATGCAATTTGTAAATAAAATCACGAATTAATTAATCAAACGAATTCGAACGGTCCATTATTGCTATGAAAAATATTTGTTGATAAGTCTAGGAGAAAAAAACAGTAAGAGTCGAAAATATTTTTTTGATGAAATCGTCGGGGTGTTATCTTGACGATTAAATGCCGGTGCTAACATTCGTAGAGTACAAAAGGAAAAAGAAAAGAAAAGAAAGAGAGAGAGAGAGAGAGAGAGAGAGAGAGAGAGAGAATGCACCCTCTCCTTAGTGTTCTTCGTTTTCAGTCTCGCACCACCGTTCACCAGGTCGTGTTTTATTTCTGATAGCAACGCCTTCGTTCTGCTCCGGTGTCGTCGACGCCACAAGGACATTATCGCCGGCACGAAGGACCCTTTCTTCCCCCATAAAGGCAATCACACTTTCTCCGCGTGGAGATAACGGTAGAATGGAAAAGCAAAGACGTTCTTGGAACAGCCGCCTCCCCCCATTCCCACGTTTTCCCACCCTACCTTAAATTTCGCGGCTTTTTCTTCTTCTATCAGGGAAAAGTGACTCTCTCTCTGGGTTCACGATAATAACCGTACAAAAGGAGGAGACACGGTAAGGAAGCGAATTTCTTCTACTTTTCCTTTTTCTTTTTTCTATCCTTCTTTCTCTTCTATTGTCAACTTTTAAACGAAAGAGATTCGCCGGCTGGCGTTAGTCCTTGAACACGAACGCCATTCGTTAAAAAGACATACCCCACTTTTTCATTCATAATCTGATTGTAATATTCATACTCGGGGCTAACTTTTTGTTCTTTTCCATTCGCATTAGTATTTTTTCTTTTCTTTTATTATTTTTCAATATACGTATAGACGAGTTTGTTAAAATTGCTTAAAAATATATATATACGAGGAACTATGGGTACCACCTCCTACCCTCCGTCCGTACAACTTTTAAACCAACTTGAAAAAAGATTTTTAAAGGGATGAGAGTTATGGAGAAGGGTGACAACTGCTAGCTCGGACAGAGAAATATCTAGGCGGCTCTCTCCATTAGTATTCGCGGAAGTGTTCCTCGCTCGATTGTGGAAGGTATTGTCGAGGAAGAATGTCCTCGTTGTCGTGCTCCCCTTGCCCCGCGTAGATGGCAATGGGAAGAGCCAAGCAGAACGTGGGGAAAGGAAGAGAAAGAGAGAGAGAGAGAGAGAGAGAGAGAGAGAGTGAGTTATGTTACGATAAGGAGTCACGAATCCATGCGAAATGTAATCACTTTGAAAGATAGGAACTCGTACGTTCTCGACAATGTCAATCGCGATTTGTCTAAGAACATTTCCTTTACTTTTATACATATAATCGACAAGTACTTTTTTTCTTTCATTTTTTTGCGTTCCCGACATTGACAAAGAGAGAAAGAAAAAGATCATCGTCAAATTTAATTACAATCGAATAAAATATAGGAAGAGACAAAAAGAAAAAAAGGAAACGAAAGGATGCGAGAGAAAAACATTTCGATGCGCAAACAGATATCTTAATTACGCGTCCGTTTAGTCGTTTTTCCTAATAATAACAGGAGGGAGTAGGGTTCTAATTCCCAGTTAATGATGGTAGGGATGACGTAGATTATTCAAAAGAATCCCAGAATACTTTTCTCACTTTTATACAGGACTCGTGAAGAAGACAAAGACGAATGGATGGCGAGAAAGAGAGAAAGGGATAAAAACACAGAGAAAGAGAGAGGACGCACGGCACGATCGTTTGATTGCGGAAAATGACGGGCGGTGGTGCGAGTGGAAGTTTTGAGTGGGCGTCGGTCCTGCAGACAATGAGGCATTCAGGCCGGTCATTGTCAGCCCGACAACTGCGTTACAGTAGACAAACCCGAAATCACCGGCGCTATCGCCGTCCCAGATCCGATTATGCGAATAATAAAAAACGTAACAGGGGACGTAGTGGAGAAGAGGAAGGAAGGGGTTGGAAAGAGAAAGAGAAAGAGAAAGAGAAAGAGAGAGAGAGAGTGAGAGAGAGAGAGAGAGAGAGAGTAAGAGAGGTGATGAAGGGAAAAGAGAACACAGGGCTACCAAAGGAGAGTGGGCTCGACAATATAACGTCAATGGTTGTGCACGGTACTTCCAAGTTGCGCCTACGCGAACGTGCACCCCTTCCATTCTCTTCCCCTCCCATCCTGCTGATATTTACCTCTCGCAGTTTTCGCAGAGATAACGATACTCTCTCTCTCTTTCTTTCTCTTCTCAACTAACTTCTCTGTGAATCGCTCGGAAACGATGATAAATATAATATCCCAACGGTAGGTAGGTAGATGGGTATCGTCTTATTCGAAAAATTTATTTGATTACCATTTCGAAACGAAGTTGAGAATACTCAATGAGAACGCCACGTTGCTTTGTACTTTGTTTTTGAATTATAAGAAAAGAAATGTAACTTTCTCTTTTTTTTTTCTTTTTTTACGGGAGAACAATTTCATTCACGTAAGAATGAATAGAACTGTTGTAATTATTCGTAAATATTTATTTACATTATTCGTAGAGACATGTATATTAACAAGGATAATAGATACACGGTTAAGGAGAAATATGAATACGAATGGAATAATCTTGAGGACCGATCTACCAAGAATATCTACCTTTTCAACTTCAATAATGCCGATCGTTATCGACTTAATGCTGGTTATTATACCTGTCGATAAGACCGGATGGTTGTTCAAAGAACAGTCGAGGTAGAGCACAATTATGCGTCGGGGTGGGGTCCTCAAGTCTGACAAAGTTGGAGAACTTGCTTAATTAGAAACGGTAGTCAGAAGCTGCCTTGTATTGTCCGGCACTGTTGACTTCCGGCCACCCTTCTCTCTCCCTCCTCTTCCCCCCCCTCTCTCTCTCACTCTATCTCTCTTGCTCTTTCTCATCCCTTCTTACAACCCTGAGAGAACGCGA